AAAAGAGCGGACAGGGATGGAACTGCAAGCAATTCTGCTCTTCTGAGAAAAACAGAAATGCTAAAAGACAACAGGATATAGTATTTCCTAGATGGTAAGAGGGACTGAGAGAGAGGGTTTATCTACTTCACATGGCTAGGAACATAATTCACTATGATCACATCTTTTCAGATCATCAGAATAAGACTGTGTGTGAAAGAGAGAGACAGATGGGAAAGACAGGAGAAGTAAAACATTAAACCTGCTATAACATTCATACAACCCTTGAGGAAAAAGGTACAGACAGATTATATTACAAACACCCAGCCTGTTATTATTTGTCATAAGTCTGTGTAGAACTGTTAAATGATAAAGTATATACGTGTATATGCCCATGTTTATCTACATGGTGAACGAAGGTCAGCCGATGGCTCTGAGAGAGGTTGTTACAACGTGTGCATGTGTAACCGTGATTATATGTGTTTACAAACAAACTGTATGTAACCACACATGCATAAAAAAAAGAGTATATATATATTATTATATATATATATATATATATATATAAAGTGGCTGAGCTCCAAATAGTGCGTATGTGTATATTCTAGTCATAGATCTTATTCAAGGTATGCATAGTTAATTTGACGCAAATAAAAGTGAGGCTACAAGGGACAATTCTGCACTGTGCAGGTTCTGTTCGAGGTGTAAAGAAATGCTGCTGTGTACAAAAAAAGGTCAGTAGTTATATTCAGCGGTATATACACTGAACAAAATTATAAACGCGACACTTTTGTTTTTGCCCCCATTTGTCATGAGCTGAACTCAAAGATCTAAGACTTTTTCTATGTACACAAAAGGCCTATTTTTCTCAAATATTGTTCACAAATCTGTCTAAATCTGTGTTAGTGAGCACTTCTCCTTTGCCGAGATAATCCATCCACCTCACAGGTGTGGCATATCAAGATGCGGATTAGACAGCATATATTTGAGAGATATAGGCCTTTTGTGTACATAGAAAAAGTCTTAGATCTTTGAGTTCAGCTCATGAAAAATGGGGGCAAAAACAAAAGTGTTGCGTTCATAATTTTGTTCAGTGTAATTAAGCACTGCAAAAATCATATTCTTAATGAGGATTTTTGTCTAATTAAAATATTGAGAAATCATTGAAACAAGATAAATTAAGTAAATTAAAGACATGAAAGACTTGTTGTCAGAGAATGTATCTTTAATACTAGTGTATTTTGTGTAATCACACTGACATTTTTACAGTTTTAAAACAAGTGGAATTATTAGCCCATGTTAACATTTTTTTTTCTGAAATAAATGTTATACTTTTATTCAGCAAGGATGCATTAAATTGATCAAAAGTGAGAGTAAAGTCATCTATAGTGTTACAAAAGATTATATTATGTTTTTTTTTACTTTATTCATCAAAGAATTCTGAAAAAAGTATCAGTTTCCACAAATATATTATTCAGCACAAGTGTTTTCAACATTGATAATGATAGGAACTATTTCTTGTGTACCAAATCAGCAGATTAGCATGATTTCTGAAGAATCATTGAAGACTGGAGTAATGACTGCTTTGCCATTACAGGAATAACTTTTAAAATAAATAGAAAATAGTTATTTTAAATGGTAATAATTAGTTTTTACTGTATTTTTCATAAAATAAAATACTTAACATCCACAAACCTTTGAACAGTAGTGTTTATTCAAGATATAATCTAAGAAAACAAGTCTTAATATTTTATGCAGTGCTGCTTCTAAAAAAAAAAAAAAAATCTTGTTTTAAGAATTTTATTGTTTTTAAGAGCATTAATACTAAAAAAAGAACAAAACTAAAGTCCCTTGACCATTTCCCCCACTGGACGTTCAGGACATTTAATGGACCCTGAAAAAGTATTTCCAAAAACTTCCAGGAGAAAATAATAAGAAAAAAAAAACAAAACAGGAAAACATGGGCGGTGAAAATTAGATTGACCATAAGACAGTACAACCTACAGCCTCGTTTTCATTTGTGTAAAATTAAACAAGTAATTTTTCCTGACTAACATCTTGGGGTCATAGAAATATGATGTACATCTATGTTGGTTGTCATTTTTTAAATAATGAAAGGTCAAATTACCACTTCTGTGCTATCATGGTGCTGGTGTATGGCTCTCCTAATTTACAGTGATCTTAGCATTAGGCAGATATAGATCTGTGTGACGTGTTGTGCTCATGGCAGAATTCTGCACTTGGGCGTTCGTGTGTGAGTGCGTTTTCGTGTGTTTGGCAGTTTCATAGTCTGGTCTGGGCCTCAGGTATATAGATCTCGATGCTGTCTGCGCTCTCTGTGGCCGAGTTCTGCCGTACTGAAGCAGCTCGTTTGGCCGCCATCAAACGTTTGCGCGCCTCTTGACGCTGCTTCTCGGTGCTTTCCAGCGAGCGATCTCTGGCCAGGGGAGGGTGGCCTTTCGGGGGTTTCTTTGGCACTGGGGGAGGCAGCCTTCTCTCCTGAACAGGGACGACAAACAGTCAGTTAGCCACCACGGCGGGAGGAGAAAGACGAGCGGAGACAGCAATATGGCACACCTGCACACAGACAGCGCTAAGGCCAGCCGCGGCTAACATTATGGAGTGGTGCTAACGCTTCCGCGGCCGACTGCGTGCGGTAAGAGAACGGCCCGGCGGGGGTGAGAGGTTGGGGGCCACTGCCCCCATGGTGCATGCCGGATGGAATGACTTCTGAAAACAGCTCACTGTCAAACAAACAAACAAACAAACATGAAGAGGATGTCAGGAAATTAAGAGTGAGTGAAACATTCACAGTCACATTAGACCAACAGACCGACATGAGCCACAGGGAGGCAACAGCAACACTTCCAGAAGCAAATTTATAATAATTCACAATAATAATGTGGAGTTTGTAGGTTTGTTATTGCCAGTGCCCACCCTTGAATGCATAATATCACACTACAGAAGCAACAGACCATGTACATGAATGAAAAAACGCCTTTCGATCAGGCAGCTAGCATGTCTGCATTCTTTTTCTTCATTTGTCAGTGGCTCCGTACTGATTCTGCAAGTTTGTTTTACCTTTCTTTCGGGGGGGTCGAGGGGTCTCCAGTTGTTGGCTTTGAGCTGGTGAAGCTCATCGAACTTTAAGCTGATATTCTCAATGGAAAGTTGAAGCATGTCCCAGAACCCTGCGAGATCTTGAGCCACTGGCCGTGGGTGAGCGTTTGGGTTCTGCTGAGCCAAGAGAAGTATCAAAAATGGAACTATAAGAATCAGCTGTGCTGTCAAAACATCCTTATTGCCTTATTGGAACTGTTTTCTCTGCAGATGGTGTGTCCATCCTGGTACTGTATTTGCAAAGGTACCCACAATTCCATTATTTTCCAAAGATTCACATCCTTAAAGATACACTATTGTTCAAAAAGCTTGGGGTCGGGTAAGATTTTTAAAATGTTTATTTTTAAGAAGTCTCAGAGGTTGCATTTATTTTAATCAAAAATACATTAATAAAAACAGTAATATTGTGAAATATTATTACAATTTAAAATAAGTGTTTTCTATTTTTTTATGTAATTTATTTCTGTGATTACAAATGTACATTTTTAGCTGTCTTTTTTAATGAATATAATACTTAGAAAGTTCAAAAGAACAGCTTTTATTTAAAACAGAAATCTTTTGCATCATTATAAATGTCTTGGCTGTCACTTTTGATCGGTTTAATCGTTGCTGAATTAAAGTATTAATTTCTTTAAAAAGAAAAATCTTACTGACCCCAAACGTCTTCAAATATGAGACTGAAGAATTCAAATTCTGCTGTAAAGAAGCTCTTAAAAAGACAATAGCGTCATCATTCAGCTCAAGTCAGTTCAGTGTCAATTCAATTCATAGTATAAGTTGATTCTGTCAAATAATGTTTATTATATCATTCCTACTAGTACTCACCAGATTTTCCTCACACAGTTCCCTGAACTGCTGAAACTTCTGGGACATAAGCAGCTGTGCACTTCCCACTGCACTGCGGATCTTCCCCAGGACTGAACAGCACACACAAAAACAAACAGGTGAGCGTCAGAAACATGCATAACGACCCTAGAGCAATAGAAAAGTAGAATTCTGCTTCCTTCTGAGACTTAAATATCTATTATGCTCTATTATGATTATTAAAATTAGGAGAGCCTACAGTGATAGGTTTGATATTAGCAATAATTCTTAAATAAAAACAATGCCTGAGATTTCAGACAAACAGTGTGAGGACCAGAACGTCCAACATGGGGGAGATTACTTCAATGCAGCTGAGATTAATACAATACATTTGTGCATGTGCTATTTCAGCAAATCCTTAATTATCTGCAATCCATATATAATTTGTTGTAAATTAATACAGTTTAAAAAGTCATTATATTTATATACCTATTGGGCACTGAAACAATACACAGAGCACACAAAAATAACTAGAATGTTAAAAAAATATATTTTACTTTCTTTAAAGGGGTGGTTCAATGTTTTTTTTCTAGGCTTGATTGTGTTTATGGGGTGCAGTCTAACATGTGTTAATGCTTTGTTTTGTTTTTTTACGCATTATTTTTCACATAATTTACCTTTATTCCACACCGCTCTGTCCCTTCTCTGAGAAGGTTGACCTACTATAAGATTTTTAGATGAGACTCTATTATGGTATTATGGGTAAATCAAACACTAACTTTCATCAGGTAGCTTGTTCTCCTTCTCGTCGTGCTCCATCTGCCTGCACCAGCCCTCCATACGTTCTGTCTCTGCCTGCAGCAGCTTTAGGAACCAGTGGCCGTCACGCTGACACACAGAGCGGCCTACGACTTCCAAGGGATCTTCTGTTACGCTATCAATCCATGGGTCAGGTGGAGGCAGGATGGAGGGATCAAAGCCAACGTCCTCATACTCATCTGAGGTGCAGGCGTGGTAGTGATTCCCTGAGCCCTGGATGCTGACGGTGGAGGTGGCGGCATCACGCGAGTACTGCCGTGACAAGCAGCCCGAGGAGGGGAAATCTGTGACAGGAGAGTCAGCTGGTGTGTAGTCCAGAGTGTCCAGATCAGCCTGTACCGCTGTCGTCACGCTGTTAGAGCGCTTGAACCGCCGGTGACTGAGCCCAAGAAAAGAAAAAAGATTTTATTTACACAAAAACACAACTCATACAGGTGCATCTCAATAAATTATAATGTCGTGGAAAAGTTCATTTATTTCAGTAATTCAACTCAAATTGTGAAACTCGTGTATTAAATAAATTCAATGCACACAGACTGAAGTAGTTTAAGTCTTTGGTTCTTTTAATTGTGATGATTTTGGCTCACATTTAACAAAAACCCACCAATTCACTATCTCAACAAATTAGAATACTTAAGACTAATAAAAAAAAAACATTTTTAGCGTCCACATGCTCTTCCATGAAGAAAATGGGTTTAATTTCTGTATTAATATTAATTTAGATTTTTTTGGTGGACAAACTATTATTATTATACAGAACCATTATTTAAATATAATGATTCATTAAAATTATGAAAATATTAATGAGGGCAGGAATGATTTTAACTATACAATACATGTATAAACAAAAACACACAAGAAAACACATTTCTTGACAGATTTAAAAAAAACAAAACTGTTTTTCTTCATTATCATGTCCAAGTACTCTTAAATGCCACGGACTCATAAGCAGTAGTCACAGGTTCTGTCCTTAAAACATGAGCTGTACTGTCTACATGAGCCACTGTCTACATAGACACCATGTATAACACAATATTAACTTCACAAATATCATTAAAAGCCATTTATCTGGCAGACAAAAAGCACCACTCAAGTGGTCTCCAAAAGAGACTCATTTAAAGCACACAACTAGTGATAATTTAATAAAATGATGTAGCAAACATAAAAATTGCACAAAATAATGCATCTTTTAAAGCTGGTTTCCTGTCAACACTTTTCAGTAATGAAATAATAAACATTTAAACTCTCCTTTAGTTTTGTTCCATCATTTTTTATGAAACTGTTTTGCTGAGCTTGTCACAATGAATTGTGGGATTGCCTTATCGAAAAAAAGTGGTAGTGGCAAAATTAGGCCTTTTAGGGTGCAGCATAATCTATTGTCTACAATTCGTGACATCAGGAGCACGTCTATGGTGCCTAAAATACTGTCTAGCTAGGCAGTTTTGAGAAGAGCCATGGTGTGCCAGCTTTAGCGCTCTGGGATAATCCGGTCCCTGCTCAATAAGTTTAATAAAGTAAAAGTGTCTCCATAATACAGAGTTTCTTAATCATTGATTTAATGCACTCTCTCAACATATGCAGTGTGCAATATGACAGCTGAAGAGGATAAACAATACTTTTCAGAAAGCAACAATATGAACTTTGAACTACTGAATTAATAATAATAATAATAATAATAATAATACATTTTATTTAAGGCGTTCAAATCACTCAAGGTCACCGTACATCATGAACAATAAATAAAACAGCAATAATTAATCTGTAGATTAAATCAATTTTATAAAACACACAGATTAGACACATTTTAGACCAAGTTAATTAATTGAGAGGAAGTAGAGCAATAAAGGACACAAAGGCAAGGTGATGACAGGACTTGTTTTTGGTAATTTTGGATTTTAACATGGAGTCAACATGATGACCCATAACTGCAATGGTGTAGCCAAATATAAAAGAATGGAGTGACCAAATGTGAAATATTGTATTTTTGTTAAAAAACAAAACAAATCTAAATTGACCACTAATTTGAATATTGTGGGCATCCTCAGTGTCTATGATAGTTTCAGCTCTGAATCACTGGATGCTAATCAAACAAAGAGCACAGATTAACAGTGTTATATAAACTAGATTTTTTATTTTATTTTATTTTTGAGAGAGAAATTACTTTAGTATGTTTACTTATCAAGGATGCATATTAATCAAAATGAGAGTAAAGACATTTATTAAGTTAGAAAAGATTTCTATTTCAAATAAATGCTGTTCTTTTCAACATTCTAATCATCAAAGAATCCTAAAAAAGGTACCATGGTTTCCACAAAAATATTAAGCAGCACAACTGTTTTAACATT